TTTTAGATGTACCGGGATGCAGTGAAATGCGGAGGCAGACATGACGCGCCGCGCCAATACTTCCAGCATCTAATATATTTGAAAGGAACTATACTATTTACGGTACAAGTTTCCTTTACCGCTACATTCGGTTAAAACATGTTATTGTTACAGTTTTATAGGAAAATTTAATGAATGGTTACATATTTTTTATAATACGGCTTTGAATACATATGTTAAGTAAATGTCTTTTGAAAAATGTAAAAAGTTCTAGATTAGAAATTTAAATCTGCTAGGACTGAACTGAATATTCTGACATGATCGTAATTCTGTCAAGGCTATAAAGGTGGCAACACATTACAATGTTTATACCTTATTTATGTATGAAATAAATACACACCGCTCTAATGTATCGCTACCTTAATTAGAATATGGAGTTTATCAGCCTCGTATAAAAAATATGACCCACATTTTATTCCAGTTTCCGAATTAATTTTAGATATTTCAATAATAAAAGTCTAAATTATTTCATGCAGTGCCAGTGTTTTTTTTGTTCGATTTAATGCAATCCTCTTAATATTCGTCTAGACGAAACTGCATTCGAGGTCGTTGTGTGTCGGCGATTTTTTAAGTATTGAAGATTTACATTTATCAAAAACAATGCGTAAGAGAATAAGCTGTTGTCCTGCTAACAGTGAGTCTCACTCAATATGGCCGTCTCTTTTATAATTATTGAATAAATAAGAGATAGCGATAATTTTCATGAACAAGCGTTACGAAATTTAAAATTCATATTAAAAAATATATATATTGGTAGGTTTATGTTTAAAATATTTTCTCCAAAGTGTTACAATATTTTATTCTGGAGATTTTGTTTTTTTAGAAAGTTTGAGATTTTCATTATCATTTTGAAGAAAATATGTTAACTCTGTTTATATACTATTTTTTATCTGTTTCAAATTTCATCGAGATCAGTTCAGTCGTTTAGGCTGCAAACTTTAACATCCTTCTAAAATTTCGAAATTATAATACTAGTAAGATAGAATATCAAGTACTTACGTTACTTTAGAATCATATTAGTTGGTTAAATATAGTCATGCTTTTAGTTTTTTTTTTATAAAAATGTATCCAGTAACATTTTTAAATCATAATTTAGTAATATCTCTTTTAACCATTCTAACTAAGCTTGTAGGCTTGTGCTAGGATATGGTTCACAATAGTCGTATGAATACGAACCCTCGAACACAAGATCGGTAGTACCCCAAACCATTAGGCTCTTTATTTTATAAATTATATTTTTCGAAGCATCGATTCTGAACAAGAATGTTTTAAAAATGGGAAATACCAGCAGAGCATGACTCGGACAATGAGGAAAGGATTACGAATCAAGGACGTATTCAAATGAAGTGCCCAAACGTATGAATTTAAACATTCGTCCGTGTTTATCATACTTAATACCTGTTACCCGCAGCGAGCGAGAACCAGTTGCGTTTATTTATTGAAATACAATATTTCGTATATAATAAGCATCGAATCATACAAAGCCTCAAATCTATATATGTAATAAAATTGAATTGTCTGTTTGTAATTTCAAAAGAAAAATTCCAGATTTCAGAAAGATGATGTACTTGCTTTGCTGATAACGAAAATCCCATTTAAAGTTTTTTGTCTGTCTATTTGTGCGCAAGCCGCGTTTGTTCCAGATAATCTCCGAAACAGCTGGAATGATTTCACTGACATAGACGGGCATTTTCTAGGCCAGTTTTTTAACTTAATATTGCGTAGACAAAGTCGCGGGAAACAGTTAGTGTATTATAAAATTCTCGCAAATGTATCAAGCTACCGATATTACAAAGGTTTTACTTAAAAACAAGCACTTGTAAGTAAGAATAATATTGAACCACGCCTAGAAGCGCGGATATAAAAAAAAACTTAGTAAGTAGCCAATGTGTTCTTCCAGACTGTGTTCTACATCTGTGTCAAATTTTAAAATTCACGCATTTATAATATTAGTATGAAGTTGCATAATATGTATAGTATATGGTTTAAGATGTTTAGGCAAAAGTTCGCAACATTGCAATAACAGTATGTTGCAAAAGAATCAAACTCTCTTTAAACCTAACGTGGTATAACAATAGCCGGATTTAAAATATTATAACAAACTATTCGTACAATTAGATAGAATGTCAATACAGCAGTACTAGAAGTACTTAACCTACTAACACATTAGGCTGTTAAAGTCCGAAATACAAGATACAGGGTTGCCACATTTCAGGATTTGTTCCGAATATTACTTTTACTTGATGCATGTCAGGGGTTCGATTGTGCTCTTCGGGTAAGAGTGATTAATGTAAAAATGACTATGTCGTTTCCATAAGCTTTATCACAATATACATTACATCTTATTTTATACATAACATCTATACATTCTTCGGCCTTCTTTTGTTTATCACTTTATCTAGTTGATTTACTAAAGAACAAAAATGATCGTCATTTGTTTATTAATTGTACGTAAAGGAGTCAAGAATTTGATGGTCTGACTTCGGTTTTTCCAAAGCTGACTTAAGGTCCATTAAGAATGGAAGCTTAACTCATTCTCTAATGCTGGCAACGAATCTGCAATTCCTCGGTTGTTGGGGATGTCCATAGGCTTGTGTTTCAGCCGCTGACTTTACCCACCTCTAATAAAACAAATCGACATTTGTTTTTTTTTGTCATCTGTATTTGATAAAGTCTATAAAGTTGGCAGCCCTACACATAGGTGGAGTTATGACACTTTATGACACGTAATGTCTCACCCGATGAGTCAACGCGCTCGTAATCTTCGATAAATCAAAGCTGACCCCATTATAATACATAACAGTGTGGATATGACAGCATCAACGACCTTCATACAACCTCGTTAGGAACTGACCAAAAAACCAGAGACTAATAGTGGCATTTATGTTTAGAGCGTGCGCACACCTAAAACTAACTGTTTAGTCTCGCTTTCCTATGAGATTATATGGAGATGTGCACACTACTCGATTTTTAGGTGTGCAACTAAACAGTTGAATTGGCTACGAAACAATCGACAATCGCACAACAGTTGTGCGATAGTTTAGTCAAAGGTGTCCGCCCGCTTTTACTCTATATATCCTCATGAAATTATGAAAAAAAAAATTATTGTTTACATTTGTCAAATTATCAATTGCAAATGCCAAAATGACATGACATTACAAACCTTGGCAATCTTTCTTCCTTGATGTTGGCAGCAACTTATGGTCTCTTTCCCATATTAAGGTTTTTATCCAAAATATTAACCCCCTAAGTTTAATGGCGTTAAAACATGTAGCCTAAAGCGTGACGTAAGTGTAGAGCGTTTTATTAAAAAAAGTATTCAAAAATACGTTATAATTTCTGACATCTTAGGCCAAAAAAGTGTGTGTTTACGCTTTATTATAATAGTATAGATTCCTTTATTGCTTTCCTAATATAAAGTATTTTACAAGCGTTCGTCAACAGAATCTGTGTCCACAGGTGGTGCAAATTGAAATAGTTTGCAACAGTTTGAAACTAAGCGATTAACGAACATCCCAGTTTTAGGCGCCTCTATCGAATGCCAATAAGTTGTTTATTGTTGACAATAGTTTGATAAAGAATGTCTATCGATGTTTTGTAATATGTGAAAAAGCTTTAAAACCTTAATTTACTATTACTATTGTCATAAATGTGAAAATTTAGATGGATGGATATTTGTTAGAAGGTATAACCTGAACAGTTCGCCTCAACGAATCTCGAGGTACATTTTTAAAACACAATTTAGAAGAACACATAAGCTACAATTCTTTTTTTAATTTCCACGCGGATAATCACGGGTAACAGTTAATTTGTAATATAATTTACTGTATTTCGTACTAGCACTATTTTCCGGAATCGTTTGTTTTTGCTGACCGTACAATATTGTACATTCTACGGTCAGCAAAACATTTGGGGGTTCAAATAACATTAAGGGAATAGGGTAGTGTGTGTTTCTAATATCGTGTTAAATACAAGCTTCTTGGCGTAGTTAATAGGTATAAAATATTTGTAACGTAAAATCAGAGGTCAAATTTCATGCGAAATAATTTTGTATGACATTCACACGATGGTGTTACGTGAAACCATAGTGTCATCTATAACGCCACCTCTACTGTGTCAATTATTAAAAACAGCAACTAAGCAATTATTGAATACCACTTGTACTAGCGATTTTGAGCCGTCTGCTATAACTTTAAAGTTCACAAGCATTTCGAACCTTCATCATCTCCCTTACCTTATCCTACTCATGTAATGTCGGCGCGCCGGGTTTTCCTTCTTCAAATAACTCTTATCATCCGTCATCTCAGTCATCACTCCTTTGATTATGTCTCCTTTCATGCAATCCATTCCTTGCTAGATTTACCTCTAACTTAAAATTTGGTAAGCTCAAAACGAGTAATTAGACGTAAAATTACTATTTTTTTATAGGTTTTGTGTGATTTATTAGGTTGCTTTTGTTTGAGTATATGGATATTTTAAAATCGATTGTTAATAAGTAATTACGTAATATACAAATAAAAATGTTAGTATCAGCTAGTTACGTATAACCTAGATAGAGTGTTAGGTACCAAAACGCTCTAACGACCTAGATCCGGTCTGACCTTGTGCTCCTTTGTGCTACGTATTGGAGAGGACGATTTGATTTTATACAATTTACTATTTCGATCTTTCTAGAACGTTTTTGTTTTTAAATACGTCACTCTGTGTGACCTTGACATTTATTGAATCCATTTGAGGTTTTAAGAAGAGTGTGCGTCTGACAAAAAATCGATGTCGTCACTGGAAATCCGGTGCTATCTTCCAGAGAGATAAGGACAGAGATATTAACGTAGTTGCTAATTATCCTCTATTTTTATTGTACTTAAATTGTTAGTACTGTCCTTTCTATACTTCTTAAACTTCTTTCTAAATTACGGTTTTGAATTCCAACTTTGAACTAAAAACATTAAAGGAATACGTACCGTGCAGGAATTGAACTGCGTTCGCCAGTTGTGGTGGTCTGCCAACCACCATGCAGTTTTGGCGATCTGGTAAACAATAAAATTAATATCAATTAGTAAAATGCCAGTAATATTAGTAAGTTTAATAAACACGTAAGGTGACGGGTCTATGGAACATCAAAATCAGTAGTCTATGTTTTGTCTGATAACCAGAGCTATAATCGAGAGCACAGACCCTACATGAGTAGAAGAAAGACGGGCTGATGAATAAGTTTATTCGATTAATTGGATTAGTTTTAAACTTTGGCAAGTAGACGCTACATATTAGCGTTGTTCGTGAAATTTAAAAATACTTAATTTTTCAAACCATTATAATAATCTGGTGAAATTTGCACGTAAGCTTTACAAAATGTACATCGAAGTTTAGTTGCAAAAGGCACGCGAACCGATTATTTGGACGAATTAACAAACCACAGCACGACGATTATAACACAAATAGTATTTCCTGACCCTTACAGCAAATGAAATGTAGGTTACCAAGATTAAATTGACTAAAATCAGACGTCATCGTTTAATACAGTAAGCAAGCCTTTTGTTGTTTTGAAAGTGATATTATAATAATGTTCACATTAATTTCTATTAGGAATATTAGTCTATAGAAGCTAAGGGTTTCAGAATCAGAGGCCTTAGCACGAAAATTTGTGAGAAAGTGTGTAATGTGCACCAAAATAAATCTCATACAGAATTTGCCGCTGACGTTACGAATACTTTCTCCCAAAGTTTTCGTGCTTTGTGCTGTATTTATTTAGCACAATCGACTGTCTAATTAAATATACATCTATGCAAATTACGCTAGGTTTTAGTATGAAAAAAATATGACTAAAACAAAGACACCACAATAGCTGATCTCATAAACCGTTAAAACAACAATTGTCATATTTCCAATCACAACCGAATTCAAAAACGACCCGTACCCCGAAAACGAACAAAAGTCAGTCAACATTTTCAATTGCGGACCCACTTACGGTGCGAGGTAAACGAACGCAGGCGTCGTTTTTCGTCGCACCTCGTCGTTTTTCGCTATTCGTTGTCGCTTTGCGTAGCTTTTTTGTTCATCCCTAGACCAAGCAGCGGCCCAGCGGCGGCCGGCGTTTTGTTTTCCACGAATTTCACCCAGCCTGCCAGGATTCACGAAAAACGTTTTACTGGACAGAGAAAGGTGAGGAGATGAATAAGCAATTTTAATTTGATAAGATTATTTTATTATACCTGAATTATACGATGATCTAGTATTTGATCACTAGAAACAATGACAATTAGTCATAGAAGCATAATCAGTGTTTGTGACTAAAAGGAGTACAAGTAAAAAGGAAAGTTTGACAGTTTCCGGAATTTATAACGTATTTGTACAACTTTGTTTACTAACATACGGTAAAGTAGTTGTCATAAGAACATCTTAACAGAAAACTTTTGGTTTTATGCAAACATTTTTGAGCTTCAACAAACTTTCAGTCTTTTTTTATAATGAAATACTCTATAGATGTTTTTGTTCAGATCTATTTCGGCTAACTAGTTATTACGAGCGATCGACGGACATTGTACGGAGCCGACACGACGCGCCGACGCGACGATTTCAGTTTGTTGAACAAAATGCATGGGATTTTTTCAAAACGTAGCGTTTGCTTTACATGTCGAGTAAGCCACGATAGCTTGATGTTTTTTTTTCAATTGATCTTCACACTTTGGTTTGGTTTAGAATTGTGATGGTATTTTCAAAACAATATTAAATAATGCAATTAAATTGTGTTTTTTTTTGTTTTAGCTTATGTTTAGTGACAAGAGTTTTAGCGTCTTTATAAGTCTTGTAGCTACTCTTTACTTTGTAAACCATAATACGAAACTCTCTATCTGTTAGGTATACTGTACAAATTTTATATTGAGTTGGAGTTAAGCATTCTCTCCATCAGCACTAGAACAAAAGCGATCTCATTCTTTAAATCAACGAAGCGAGTTTGATGCTATACGATTAACTTGAAAAAGAACGAAACAAGAACTACAAATTGGCAACCCTATCCTAGATTATTTAGCTGTACAACCCTTGTCTGACATTCGCAGTGTTCAACGTTTTTTTCAGACCCCTTTTTTGGAAACTACACCGTTTAACTCCCCCGCCCAAGTGAAATTACACTATCCGTAATTATCTTTTAAAAATGGACCGAAATACACGGGATATTTCGTCCGTTTCTGCTGAAATAAAAAGACACAAACGGACTAAATGCTCTCTTATATGTGCCTTTACGTCATATACTTTGAACTGTGTTTTTCATGTGAATTTTTTTGGTTAAAAAGTTGTACTCAATAAGTAACGAATGTTAATTGTAATCGTTAGCTTTCACTGCCTTAACTACTACAGATTTTGTATATAGAATCAAAGTACTATCTTAGTTTCCTTAAAGAAAATGCGGGTGATAACATGATGCTGTTTGACGGGTAAATACGAAAGTTTAGATGGAAGCTAGTTAGAGTTTGTATCCTATACGCCTGAACGGATTTCGATGAAATTTGGTGTAGGATGTTCTGAAAGAACACATAGGCAACTTACTTTGTTTTTTAATTCGCGCCCGAAAGCTAGTATTGGTAAAAAGTTTTAATGTAAACTAAAATGTTTCGGTTAGTGATAGACTTAGATGTCGCTGTAGCGTTTGTTACACGGCCCGGAGACAGTTAGCCGTATCGTTTCGGTTCGATTCCGTGTAATCTGGCAGATTTCACTGGCGCAGTCTCAGCGACGCCTGCTTCTATCCCATTGGTACGGTTAACAAAACAAATCGAGAATGTAGAAAGTTAATGTTTATTATTTGTTAGTTTAAAATAAGATGATATTTATTTATTGTAAGTAACAATAAAAGTTGAAATAAGCATACAAAGTAATGCGATAGACACTCTTGATAATAATGGGTTTAGTATTGATAATATTTTATATTTAATTCTTAATATGTACGTTGATGTTTAAAATTCCAAAGTCTATACCTTTCGATAGGAAATTGTAATTTATTTAATGAAAATGCATTTCGTATAGCATAAGTATAGAATAAAGCAAAGCTATATTAATTCAGACAAAGTAAATTGAGCTATACATGTGTTTTAGGACGCAAGATATCAGGTGGTGTATAATTTTTGTATCAAGGTTTTTATCATTTCTAAAAAGAAATTCGCTGTCTTCTTTGATTCAACATTCTAATCGTGTTTATTAGTAAGTAGCGCCTGGATTAAGGTTTAAAAAATACAGCCGGCGTTTTGCATCGGTTTAGCTTTGAAGTGAGCACGATTGTGCGAACTTCGATATATTTTTACATTCATATGAATGCAACATTTAGCTACTTCTCAGGTTTCCACGATATAACATTTGTGAAATGATAACTTTGTGTTGTTAATTTTAAGTTAAAAAAGGAAACGCTTAACTCGTTTAATCGATGTTAATACTTATATTATTGACTAGCTGTTGTTAACAACTTAACCCGTGTGAAATAAAAAAAAACTATAGCCTATGCTACTAACTGATAACGTAGCTCTTTGATTGTTAAATTTTTTTTGAAATCTGTCCAGTAGTTTTTGAATTATACAATACATAACAAATACAAATCTTTCCTAATTATCATATTAGTATACATTAAGGTGAATATAATAGCGGCTTCATCCGCATGAAATTGTAAATTTATTGTTTAAATTTGTCAAATTATCAATAGCAAATGTCAAAATGACATACATGACAAACCTTGGCAATCTTACTTTCTTAATGTCGGCAGCAACTTATGGTCTCTTTCCCACATTAGGGTTTTTATCCATAGTATTAACCCCCCTAAGTTTAATGGCGTGAAAATATATAGCCTAAAGCGTGACGTAAGTGTAGGGCTTTTTATTAAAAAAAGAACTATTCATTTTAATTCTGTAATTGCTGACATCTTAGGCAACAAAGAAGTGTGTGTGTTTACGCATTATTATAATAGTATAGATAGATAATACGCAGTTAAAGACCCATAATAGATTCATTGGTTAAAAATGGTTTTTGTCATGTCCCAATATCTTTATTGAATCGTCTATTAGTAGCAGATTTCCTAGAAAATAAATATTTATCGAACTATGGTGTTTCAAAGTCTACCAACATCTGAGCTATAGAGCATGTTAAAACAGGACACGTAACATTTCATACAAGCGAGCGCAAATAATTGAAAATGATTAAACAAATGCATTGTCCGACGATCGTGCGTCACGACTGCCGGGCGTTAGGAAATTAAAGTTCCGTTTACATTGTCCACTGCGTTACGCGTACGCGTGTCGCTGCACATAGCCAGCACGCAATGGATATGCAAATGTACGTTATATGTTATTTAACGCGAGTTCTATAGTACATTTATAAGTTTACTCTTAATTTCCAATCTTTGCTATTTCTGTGCTGTTTTTCTGTTTTTAAAGTTTCTACTGCTGATAAAAGGGTTTGAGATATTTTTTTTGGGGCAGAAGAATGTGTTTTGTTCTTCAAAAACTTCGAGAATAATATAGACCAGTTATTTCCAAATGCCTTTCCTTCCTCCGTCCGCCCAAAGGAAAGGCAAAAATTTTAGCACTGAACTACCAATTTGTAATAATTAAAAGTCAATAAAATGTTTACTACTCTGCCCCCGACAGCAAATGAAAAACCGAAGCCATTAAATCTTTTAAAATAGTCAACGTGTACAATAAGTTTGGGAACCTCTGTCTATAGACATTTCGACAGTTGTACCGGAAGCTATGATAATGGTATTCCGGAGGGCAATTTGCCATTTCCAGTGTCGGGAAAGCAGCGTCGCCTTTCACCGGATGCATTTCATCTACTGTAATTATTACTCATTCATTACGACTACGATTTAGATAGTTCTAACATTTATTTAACAACGTACAAGGTGAGATTCAAGGAAATCGTGTAGTCAAAAAACCTGTCTCAAAAGCTATGCTAGAGGTTCGAAAAGAGCACTATAAAAAATCTGTGGCTTTCATCAAGACTAGTTAGCTGTTCCGGAGATACTCAGTATCAAACATCCAAACTTACG